CTGACAGAGTAGATAGAGAAAGGATGTTTCCTCACGTAGGATAATCTAGAATCAGAGTTCATAGGATAAGTAGTAGTTGATTTCAAACAGAGATTGGAGAACTTACTTCTATCAAAGGGTTTTGAATCTGTGAAATTCACTACCCTGGACTGTGGTGGCTGCTGAGGGGATAGACAGACTTTTAATTAGTAATGAATTCACGGTTATGGAGAATGGGCAGGAAAGTGGAGTTGACTCTGTGATGAGATTAGCGGTGATTGATTGTATTAAATGGCGGAGCAAACGTGACGGGCTGAATTTCCTACTTCTGCTCCTAGTTCTTGTATTTTTATGCTCTAAGTGGGTAAACCCTGATTTTTATTCAATGACCCCTAATTCTAGATTCTCCCATAAGAGGAAGTATTCTCTCCGTATGCACCCTGTTAAGACCCTTTGGGATCTTATACATTTCAGTCAAGTCACCTTATAGACTTCTAAACCCTAGCAGGTACAAGTCTACAAGTCAGATACAAGAGTACATTGTCCAACCTTTCTTCATAAAACAAACCAATTATACAGACTGATAAATCTTTCTGAACAACTTCTAATACATTTAGATCCTTTCTTAAGGTGAACAATACTGTGTACAGTAATCTAGATGTAGTCTAACTTGTACCCTGTAATAGAACACGACCTCCTTACTTTTATGTTCAATTTGCCTTTTCCAATTCTTTTTGCTTTTCCAATTCTTTGCTGTACTTGCATAATAACCTTTCGAGAGTTATAAATAAGAAAACCCAGATCCCTCTGCATCTCAGAGCACTGCAATCACTTACTATTTAGATCATATGCTTTATTTTTGTTCTTCCTACCAAAATAGACACTTTGCATTTTCCCACATTATACTGCATTTGCTACATCTTTGTGCGATCACTTGACCAATGCACCATCTTCCTACTGCTTTCTTCACAGCCTACTTTTCTACCTATATTTGCCATTGTCCGCAAATTTCACAATATCTTCACTCCATTTAGCTAAGTCATTTATATAAAGTATAAATGGTTGAGGTCCCAGGACATTTCCCTGTGGCGCATCACTGGTTACCAACCTGAAAAAGACTATTTTTGCTGACTTTCTGCTTCCTTCCAGCCAACCTTCTACCCATGCCAATATGTTACATCTACACCTTGAGCTTTTATTTATTGCAATAAATTTTCATGTGGCACCTTACCAAATACCAACTGGGTGTAATGGTTTTAAAATGCTTTTCTGAAGCATTCTGGCACTTCTATTGCAGGAAAGCTGTCACATAAATGCTGTTATTCGATGCCGTGAAATCTTTCACGTTCGCCTGATGGGGCAAATGTGGCTTTGCTGTAGTGTCTCATCTGAAAGACAGCACTTCTGACAGTGCACCACTCAGATTGTATGAAAAATGTCTAGACAGAGGGCTGCATCATATGAATTAGTTGCCTCAGTTTACAGTCACATCTCTTCATTCTCTCTTCCTAATTAGTTATGAAGAATTTCTTATATTTCCAAAATGAATTTAAAAGCCCAGATAATTTCCCACTTCGTTCTTGATTCACAGACTCTCTTTTTAGCATTAATGACTTCAATCCAGCTAGTCTTATTTAGAATCTTTGTTTTTTTATAGGTATCAAAGAACATAACTTACATACCACTGCTCTTAGCAGTCTTGCTAATATTTTATAGATCAACTGGTAACAATTCCCTGCACTTACCTCTCCCGATGAACATTTTTTGCATTCATAATTGGACCATAAAATTGACATCTGGTTAACAAATATCTTTTCCTGTGTACTTAAAGAAAGTAAAGACCGTCTATCTTGTGACGAACTTTGATCTGCAAGCCATGCAGTAAGGAAAGCTCATAACGTTTTAGAATGTGGAATTTATAATTGATTTGAAGAATGTTTATAAAGGACTTTACAGAGTTTGCATCAACTGTAAAGGGATTCACTACAATTCCCTTGAATAATCACAAAAACACGACCTGGTAAACCTTGGCCTGAGACCAGTACCAACAGAAAGGAAGTTAACAAGCAAAACACAAAGTAGAGGTGAGTAAAGAGGAGAGCTGAGAACACACAGTTACAGGGACCTGTGTGTACCAAATAGGACAATTAAACAGGCCACAAAGCCAAAAATAGGGTTCAAACAGTGTTGTGAAGTGTATAATCTTACTGCAGATGCTTCAGTTTGCTAGAGTTAACCAGATTGTTTAATGAGGTTGATTAAAAGGCAGTAGATAAAGGAGCTTCTGGACAATCTGTGCCTTCAAGATTGTTGTTAACATGGCTAAGACACTTCTCCGGAAATGTACCATTTGGGGAACAACTGTTTCCGGAGGACTTTGTATGGAATACGCCAGTGGTGAATATGACCTGAGGATCAATTCAGCTGAGGGGGAAAATGAGATTTTGTATACAAGAGGCTGGGTTGTGGAACTTTGTCAATTCCATGGGGAGTGATGCAGGTGGTTATGTAAAATGTATATTTGTTATATCAACTATTCAAAGTGAAATCTACCAATTTATCTGAAGTTTAACTTGTCTGTTAATTTATACTTAAATTGGATCTGAATTTTGTTAGCATAATAGTCAGGGATAAACTGGTTAATTAGTCAACAGCTCCTTCACTCCATCATAACCAGCTATATGATTCTGCAGTGGCGGCTCCATCGTTTCCGGAGCTTGGAACCAGAAATCACATTCGTTAAGAACTGCCCATTAATTGGAAGCCAGCGGCTCCCCAATACTGGCAGTGCCAGGGGGTAGGTGGTTACTGTTGGGTTTCAGGGACTTCACCTGTCCACTATTTTAGGGGAAAATTGCTTCTCACTATTGCCTTTTTCACAAAAATTAACAAGAGGAATTTCAATGACATGTAATTATTTATTTTGGGGTTAAAAACACAACTATAAATAAATAATGGAACAACACCTTAAATTTTGTCCTATTAGTTACTGATTCACTGACCATTGAAAAAAATGTTTTCACTACTTAGGTCATCAATTTAAACATGTCTAGCAGGTCATCTCTTAGCTCCTGTTCTAAAAAGAACCACAGATTCTTATGAGATAGCAAGAACTGCAGATGCTGGAGTCAGAGACAACAGTGTGGAGCTGGAGGAACACAGCAGGCCAGGCAGCATCAGAGGAGCAGGAAAGTTGACGTTTTGGGTTGGGACCCTTCTTCAAAAAGGGTCTGAAGAAGGGTCCCGACCTGAAATGTCAACTTTCCTGCTCCTCTGATGCTGCCTGGCCTGCTGTGTTCCCCCAGCTCCACACTGTGTTGTCACAGATTCTTTTATGTCTATTCTAATAAGACTTCTAATTCTCCTCCAGCCAGAATCATCTTAATTAATATCATCAATCTCCTTTCTATGGCCTTGACATCTTTCCTAAAGTTTGCACACAAAAGTGGATACAGTACTCAAATGTGACCTAACCAAGCATTTATGCTTAAAATAAACTTTGCATCCCAATTTGTTTTTGTTGGAGCTCTATTAACATATCTCCTATATTAAAGTATGTGTATCTAAACCATCAGGTTTCTACTATTTATTGTATAGTCATCCTATTTCTCCAAAAC